TATTCAATACCCCGAAGATCATTCAGTACACACAGAGACTGAGAAACCACAATCAGAATAAGCCAAAGGCTCGGACAGCAATGGAGCTCACACGTGATGTGGTTCTGTTCTGTTATTCCATGAGTTCAGGAGTGTTGCGGGGTCCTGACCGATTTCTGGCAGTCGCTTTCCTAATCTTATTTTAAAGGCAAAGCCATGCACTCACGAACTCCCTGAAGGAAGCCGAAAACGAAGCCCATTGCGAAGGCTGACCCCAACCTTTGGCGAAGGCCCCGAGACCTTCTGCGAAGGGGGTTTATAGGGTGCCAAGGATCCCTCTGGTAGTAATAGAACAGTACTGCTACAGTAACACAAGCTATCCAAGAAGTCCACAGCCCTTGCAAAACTGCTTCGGCGAAGCAGAAAACCCCTTCCGCGAACCTCACACAGAGTCCTTCGACGAAGCCAGGAACGCACGACGCGGACGTTCGACGGACCCTTCGACGTGGCACCGAAAGCCCTTCGACGTAGCACCGAACACCTTTGGCGAACCCTTCTGCGAACCCCAAGGCTACGTCTCTTGCCACCTGAACTTTTTCGTACACAGAACAGAACACGACTAATCAACGCACCAAGTTCCCCTCTTGGATCTGGGACCATCGGCCCCCCCCTTAGGTCCATCGGACCCCTTCCTGAGGTCCATCGGACCGCACTATCACGACAACCTCTATCTCCCTCCAAACAAACGCCCCGAAGCCCTGCCAGTGGGGCACGTGAGCTGGAAGAAAAAGACTGACGACCTGGCAATGCCAAGGCTGTACTTTGAATTCGGGGAGTTTGGCTTGAAACAGGTTTCGGGAACGAGTTGCCACCTGTGTTTTTCCGATAGAATGCCATGTTTCTTTTCCAGGCTTTTTGGGTCTGCAGGTTTGTGCTGTTTCCACCCAAAGCTACAGGTGGGAACTACTTGCTACCTCGAAAAGTTTCAGCTGTTGATACGAAAAAATACAGGTGGCAACTAGTTGCCACCTGTTTTTTTTCGTATAGAACGCAAGCTAAGGGAAGCTTCTACAATAGCTCTTTATGATATGCCTACTCCGTCCTCTTGAGGAACCCCAGAGCGCTACTCTACGATGTCTTGGGCTTGTGAAAGTTTGAGCTGTTTGTACGGAAAAATACAGGTGGCAACTAGTTGCCACCTGTATTTTTCCGTATAGAATACAAGCTAAGCCAAGCTTTCAGAAACCCTCTTTATGATGTACCTGCACCCGTCCTCGAGGAACCTCACTACGCTACTCTACGATGTCTTGGGAATCACGGTTTTCAGCTGTTTTATGCGAAAAAACACAGGTGGCAACTAGTTGCCACCTGTATTTTTCTGTATAGGATACAAGCTAAGCGATGCTCTCAAGAGCCTTCTTTATGATATACGTGCTCCCGCCTTACTTTACGAGGTCTTGGCCTCAAAGTTTGTGCTCTTTAGACAAAAAAACAGCTGAAAATACAGGTGGCAACTAGTTGCCACCTGTATTTTTTTGTACAGAACAGCAACCGAGCAATCAACGCACCCAAGTTCCCCTCCGGGACCATCGGCCCCCCCCTGAGGTCCATCGGACCCCTCCTTGAGGTCCATCGGACCCCACTATCGCCACAACCTCTATCTGCCACCAAACCACAACGCCCCGCAACCCTGCCAGTAGGGCACCCGACCTGGAAGAAGACGCTTCACAACCTGGGCGAAGGAAAGAATGCCGGGGCTCTAATCTCAACTCGGGGTCTGATGGGCAGAGTCTGGCTTGAAACAGGTTTCGGGAGCGAATTATTGCCACCTGTGCTTTTCCTATTATCTATAGTCCTATAGAATGCCACTTTGTTGAGTCTGAAAGTTTGTGCTGTTGCTCTCTCCACAAAAACAAACACAGGTGGCAACTAGTTGCCAGCTGTTTCTTCTGCTACAAACCC